GAGCCTAGCGTGTTCAGGACATATTTTCACTGATTCGTGAGTGCCAAGCCCTTGTTTACAAGATGAATTTTTTCTCAACCTTTATTTCACCCAATTTCCAAATTTAGCACTCCACCCTTCTGTCTTTTTTCAGCGGGAAGCCTTCAGGAGGGTTTAGATAATGTTTAGATCCTGAAAAGGAACTCCCAAAGGATGGAGTTAGAGGAACAAGGACTCAACACAGTCTTCCCCCTTAAGGAGGATGGTTTAATCCGGCATCCAAAATTAACCAAAGGGGTGGCACCACCCAACTCGTGGTCTGAGGCCTTCTGGAAGACATCGACCAACAGTACTGGTCAACCAAACAACTCCTCTCCACCAACGACTTGTGCGAGACGCTGAAAAAGACTTGCAACCCCCTGCATCCATGAAATCCGATGCTCTCACGATGTTTAAGAATCTCATAGAATCTGAAACCCGAGTCATTCGAGCTGCATTTTTCGCCATGTATGTTTTCCGGGTGGGATCCAGTCAGAGATCTGGCCTCATCGTAACCGTTCTTGAAGCGCTGGGTGATGTAGTTCAAGGGAGAGGTGTCCTGAGCTGATGGGGTTCAACTCGTCCCCTGCACCAGGCGAATGTCTCACCCGGAGACAGGACTAGGATCATTCGGCGAATCAGAATTTGTTGGCGGCTTTGGCCCGTTTTCACCCAAATAAACACTCTGAGCGGTTTGTGAGTTTCGCTACTTGCTTGGACAAAACACCGATGGTGCTTGCACGATGGCAAGGACCTTTTTGTTCGATGGGGCAAATCAACTTCTCTATGATGATCTGATGATCTGATGCCAAGCACCGGAAGCACTGCACGCATCCATCGCATCCATCGCATCGTCGACGGCGGATCCATCGCATCGGTCGAAGCGAAGATCGACGACGTGTGTTTTTGCCTCGCGAGGTTGGTCGAAGCCCATTTTGCAGCTGAGGCACGAAGTAAGGGCCGAGCGTCTTCAAGTGGTCCTGGAGACGCTCAAGAACGAGGTCCGATGAGGGAAAAGAGGAGAAACATCTGAGACTGTTAGGAGACATATTCCATCATATATGCTCATAGATGGAAGATAGAACATTCCTAAACCTTTGAGTTTCTCCCAAAGATTTGTCGGAATGTCCCATCTTCCGAGCTGATTCAGGCCGACCCTGTTGAGCACGTTTCTTCCAGGTGGTCCTGCTTCATGTATGCCACACGCAGGTTGCAATGCCGGGTCACCTCGCCCAGCTTTCCGTCCTGGTTCGCCAAACGCACATGGATTCGAGGCCGCTGCGGCCGGAGAAGCATCCAATCCACCAAATCCGTCTAAGACCACCCAAAAGTCGATACATGTCGATATGCCCAAAACCTATATTATATATATATACATATACCCCTGCAAATCGGGGGTTGGCTTGGCTGGATCAACCCATAGAGGGTCAAGTCCAAATTTAAACTAAAACCCTAAGGGTGGAGGCCGTCGCTGGGCCGTCACTAGTAGGTTGGTTTCCATCGCTAGTGCTTTTGCTTTTGCCAGATCCAATCGTTTCAGGGCGATCTCGGTCGGCCGCATGCGACCGCATGCGAGTGGACATCGGTGGACACCGGACATGTCGCTGCTGCGGGCCAAGGGATTTGCCGAATTGGAGAAATTTCGGAAATTGAGGGACAATTGTAGTATATAGTGCAATGTTTTTGCAAGTTGTATCTATATAACGTGTTCGAACATTACACATGAGGCTGGCGCTGTGTGATGTTCATCAGAGATGGACAGGCACAGTGTTGGTTTTGAGGCCTGTGCTGACCTGAGTGCCACTCCTGACGTTCAAAACAGGCTCTGCTAGTTTCAAGTCTTTCAACCATCCTTTCCATCAGGATGTGAATTAGGGAATGAGGCGATCTGACACACAAAGGATGATATCCGCAACATCTGACCAGATTCCAACCATGCTGCTGAGCCGACGCTCTCCTTGTTCTCAGAGGGGTTCATCTCTGAACAGATGAGGGTCATCAACGTGGACTTTCCACAGCCGTTTCGTCCGCAAATCCTTGACACGGCCGGCTTTGGTTTCGCATCGTCGGCTTCGGCTTCGCAGCGGATCGCCCCCTGGAGACAACATCTCTGGGTCTTCACACCTGTCACTTGGATTTAAGCAAACTTGGGACGTGGCTGGTGCCACCGTCTATGGCACTATGGAATTGCCAGACAGGGAGTCCCACATATCTAACTGGGAGTTGTAAAGAGACAGAAAACAATGAATGAAGAGCATGAAGAACCTGGTGCGCAGTATTGCCTGGGTTCTTCTTTCGAGGGAACTACCTTGATTTCTTGCTACTGACATCACACACCCACACACACTCAAGATATTGCACACTGTGTGTGCTTTTAAGGGCAGGACAGGCCCGAGTGGGTCTTGAGAAAACTACGGCCGCTGCGGCCTGCTCTTGCCTTGCCAAACTGGCTGGCTACTCTAGCCCACTGTGGGCGACTCATGGCGTGCCCAAGGGCTGCCTGCTCAAGATCTGTAACTCATCAGGTCTGAATTAACGTTTGCGCTAAGGCTCGTCTGTCCGCTATGGACTACTCTGCTCTCCGGTCGGGAGAGAGGGACAAACCCCCTGCGTTCAACGGCACTCCTCGGGCTCACCCCCCGCTGACACGAAGCCAGACACACTCGAGATATTGCATACGGAAATGACTTGCGGTTTGCCACACGCCAGCCTAAGTGAAAAACCTAAGGAGCCAAGATGAGTATATGTAAAGCTTCTGACCATGAAGCCTCCATGAATCCCAACAATCTCGAAATTCTCGAAGGCGGAAGACAGCGACAGGATGACGACGGACGTGCACGTCCGCAGAACTCACTAGCAGCTAGCACTTTACAGCAACCTGATCTGGAAACAGCCTAAGCGAGGGAGAAGCAGTGGAGTCATCGATTTGCAAATCGATATCACCAGCACACATCCAGTGTCTTCGTTGGTGCAAGACTGGATGGGCTGCTTGCACCCCCTGCGTAAAAAACAAAAAGGTTCGTCGTGACTCCAAGGGTTTCACACACACACACACACATGGACTGCAGCCCAAAACTCGAGTCTTGCAAAGGGCTGTGAAAGCTTCTCTCAACACGGGGGAACATGCAACATCTGTTTGGATTTGGCCCACTTCGCAAACCTTTTCACAACAAAACTCCTTCACACTCAAAGGTCCTGCCTTAAGAACCCTTGGTTTTGGAGTCGTAGAATCTCAAGACTCCAAGTAAGAGCACCGGATTCCACCCGGGTGGACAGTGTTTTGCGGCCATGAAGGATCTACGGAAAAAAGAAGAAAACGGGAGTTAACTGACCAGAACATCACCCTATCACCCACCCACAGTCCAAGGTGGACACCCCGACCCAAACAGCCACATCAAATCCAAAGCCGACCGTCCAACACAACGGTCAAGATTAGAGGGTTCTTCTTCCGGTGTCAAATGCTCGCAGCAGGCGGAGGCAAGTCCCATCAAAAGTATGTTCTCGGCCGGAGTTTTGCATGAAAATGACAAGTCAGCCAGAATGCTTTCCTTCTGGTTTCATGACAAGCATCGCCACACGAGAGCCCAAGGAAAGCTTTCCAGCGACATCGGTGATGAGGTAGTCCTTGTCCTGTCGCTCTGTGTGGGGCTCTCTCTTCCTTCCGCAGAATTCCGTATGGGAACGACCGAATTACTTATATATTATAAAACAATAAAGTACTGTAGAATAATTATGCAGAAATCTTGGGAAATCACCTGTTGGAGGCCTGTGCTGTGCTTTTTTGTGATATGGGCCACTCTCAAGCCAACCCCGACAACTCGTGGCAGTCGTGTGAGCGCAAGACGTCGACGGACATGCGACCCGTCTGGGTGAGCAGCTCATAGTTGGAAGCATCACCGAGTGCAAACACCGTGTGTTTTGCTTTCCCTTCGAAGAAACCATAGTTCAGTGAACAAGGAAATCTCCCAACGAATCCACCTAGTCGACCCATCAAGGGAGAAATGGAGAAGGCTTGGGCCATCTAGTTTCCAGCCAAATCAACAAACACAGACGGCAAGATGGTCGCCTTGCCATAGCGGAAGGAGAGGTTCTTGAACTCGATGACCGCCTGGGCAGAAGCTTTGTGACGTCGGTCATTTGCATCTGTCCGTCCTCCATTGCTGTGGAGAAACCCCTCGGAACAACCTCCGTTGACGGACGTAGTGTCAACCCACAATTTTTGGTCAGCAGTCATTGGACGTGGGACACAGATCCAACCTCCGAGCTTCCAATCCTGAGTCGAGGAATTGTCACGTTTTTCGCCAACGAAGTCCCCCCGAGCCCGAGCTGTCAAGGAATACATGCATATAGCATATGCTCTTAGGACAAGAAATCTGCAACAGCAGACTCAGCAAAAGCAAACACTGCGATCCAGCAAAGCACCCGTTCTATATGTCTGAAAACAATGGAAGTGATCTCAGGTGCTACTCTTCTGAGAACTTCTGCCCCGCCTAAAATCAAGGCTCTCAACATTTTTCACAGCATTTCAGAGTCTTCAGCTTGATTCAGCTTGCCCTTTGTTTCCTCCTCCTTCCCTCCACCCGTGGGTGCTCTTGGAGAAAAAAGACACCCCGCCAGCATCCCATACTAGTAGCTTCTTGCTACTAGTAGTAATGGCCTCCAACCTCATAGCGATGGCCTCCACCGTGTGGTATTTTTTCCCGGGACGCCTTTGAGCTGGACTTCACGCCCTCGACGGAGCCGGGAATTGGGAAGCTGATCCTGGTCGAGTCCATGGCGGGTGACCAGACCATCTGGGCTCTGAAATTTGGGCAACAAGAAGCTACTAGGAACAAGGGCATCGCTACTAGTGACAAGGGGCATGACTACTAGGAGCAAATAGCTAATAGTAACAAGAAGCTACTAGTGGTGAAATGGTCAAGGAATGTTGATGGTACAAAGCCATTGGTCAAGAGTCTGGATGAGTCCCTAGATCACGGAATTTTGTTCCTGTTGTGTCTCAATCAATCCCTTCTCAAAGACTTTTCTACTTAAAGACCACTCCAACGACTCCAATGATCCTTTTCTGGTCAGGTTCTCCAAAAAATGACAGGAGTCCTTTGTTCCCTCCAAACACCTCCATCAAACCTCCCTCCACACATCAGGCCCATCAGATTTTGGATGCTAAGGCGCTTGGGAGGCCCAGTGATGGGCGCTTGAACCGCCGCCTTGGCGGCTTCCTCCGCACCTTCCTCGCCCTCCTCCTGGAACGATGTTCTTTCCGAGTTGAACAGCGATCCCAAAGGATCGTCGTCCTTGCGATCCCACCAAAATATATGCCTTTTGTGTTGCTGTTTCGCCATCTGGTGGTTTTGGTCCATCTTCTCTACGAAACTGCCAGTCATACGGGCTTCCCTCATGTCCAGTCATGTCTTTGTCTGATGAGTCCATGGCAGCTCTAAAATCTCAAAACCAAAGGCGCAAGCATCTCCAAAATCGAAGGTTTGGACACCTCGATGTTTACCTTTTTCCCAGCCTTGGGGCTGGCCTGCCAGGTTTCCCCTGTGTCAAATCATCACCCGGGCGTCGGTGAACATTGGTTTTGCGAACATCGTCACCGACCTGTGAGAGACACTTTTTAAGGTCAATGTTGGTTTGTCTTTGTTTGGCATCCACAGACGCTTCCCGAAGCTCGTTTCCTCAGCAACAGCAAGCAGTGTGGTTACTGGCTCTCCATGTTTATTCAAACCTGCAACATTGGCTTGAAGCATCTGGGCTACAAACATGGTTGGTGACCTGAAGGGATGTCACCCCCACCCAGCTTGAGACTTTTGGATCTCTACCAGAGCCCTTTAACAAGTCTTTATACATTATATAGTAGAGGGTTGTTGGGCCTTAGCCGGTGTCAATTGGTTGCTGGAGGGTGCTGGTAAGTACTTCAGATTCACCATACTCTGGGTCTTCAGACTCAGCTTCCGTGTGAGAAACTTAATCGCCTATTCCGGTCATTCACCACTGCTTCCACCTGATGCCACACGGCCGCCGCAGCCCGAAGCAGTTGTCACCGTTGTCAACAGCAACTCTAAGGATGTAAGTGATGAACCATGATTAACCAAAGGTGGCAAATATTGAAAAGGAAGCACAGGAAGGCACCACATATTCTTGGTTGAACTAGACTCGCGGCATTTTTTCGTCGATGCACAAAGCACAGCTTTCGGAACGTAAGTGCTTTCGGTACTTGGCATCAGGGAGGACGGAACACGAACGAACATCATATGATGACTTTTACCTGAGGAACCTTCACAAATGCAGTGTACCCTTTCCCCTGGTCCTCATCAAGCTTCAAGTTTCCGGACAAGAGTGCCTGAAGAAGAGACGCAAGAACCATCGGCACAGGAGAGACCTCTGAGGTCTTTGGATGGAAAGGGGTGCAATGGACCTGTTGGCAAAAACATCCACTGCAGAGCTTAAAATAATACCTCCCTACTGTATAGCAACCACCCAGTATAGAGGGAGTTGGAGCATCCCAAGCTTAAAAGACTCAGCTTGCAGTGCGATCGGCGGCAACGCATCTGATGACCTACACCGACCCGGTCTGCAAGGTCAACGGAAATTGGTGCACAGGCGTCTTTGTTCCCAAACCGGTCGTCTGCGATGTTTGGTTGATACTAGGAGCAATGTTCGCTACTAGGGGCTCCTGGCCTTACTACTAGGAGCAAGAAACTACTAGGGGCTGTGAGACTCCGTTCCCAGGAGCCTTTTCCTGGTAGCGTCCTTGCTCCTAGTAAGGCCAGGGGCCAGGAGCCCCTATTAGCGTCCGAACGCTCCTAGTAGCGATGCCCTTTGCTCCTAGTAGCGTCCTTGCTCATACCGGTTCCTTTTTCAGTTTCAGTTGAAGCATGTTGAAGCCCCTGCCAACCAACAGACTGTGTCAGGCCCCACTGTGCCTTGCTAAACACATTTTAAAAAGTGGTGTCTAGTAGTGTGTCTTTTTCTCCTGGACAGAAGCTGTTTGGGATTCTCGGGCTTCCCTTGTTTAGACGGTCCACTCCAGATCGTAGGTGTGTTTGGGCAAGGTTTTGGCAAAGAGATGGCCACAAAACTCAACGACAAGAAGCAAAAAGACCCTCCTCGACCTGCTCAGCTGGCCTCGATGTCATCCGCCTTGATACCCTTGGCCATCACGAAAGCGTCGAAGTTTCCTTCCTCGGGAAGAAGTGGCTGGAGAAGCACCGAGGCAAGCTTAGGAATGGGTGTGGATTTACATGGGGAATGTGGTGTGAGCAAAGAAGCTACTAAGGGGCTCCTGGCATCGCTACTAGGAGCGTTCGGACGCTACTAGGGGCTCCTGGCCTCACTACTAGGAACAAGAGGCTACTAGGAGCAAAGGACGGTGTACATTCTGTGTGCACTCGTGGCGTTTGGGGGCAGTTGCACGATGCTGAGGCTCTGTGTTCCTGTCGTGTTCACCTTAGGCGCTGATGGGTGGCCACAGTGGTGTTTCTCTCTCGCTTTGAGAGCTCAATCACCCTGTGTTTTAACGACGAAGTTCTCTGCAGAACGCCATTGCCTCCCTGTCACCTGGTCCGTCCGCTTACTGCCAAGGAGCGGTGTAGACCAGCTGCCTGTCCTTGTAAGAGATGATGTCAGTGCAAATCCTAAGACAAAATTTGGAGACCTCTTTGCAAAAGGTGGAGCTCAGCTCTATCCGTCACCATAAAACCTCCGTTTCGGACGCACCCCGAAGCCTCGTCTATCACCGTCCAAATCCAGAGGGGACGCTCTTAGGGAAACCCATCTCATCTGAGGCTCTTGTTCAAGAACTTCGGCTCGTGGGAGATGACCTCGAAGTGGAGAGAACTGGGAGCAAGCAAGGTTTCCACCAAAGAAGATTCACAAGCGCATGAGCTCGCCTCCTGTTGTTGATGTTTTTTGTCTGAATGAAGTTTGCAATCCATTCCGATTGGAGAAACGCTGCAGCCGAAAGCGGTTTTGCGAGGGTGTCGCGCCGGATCGCGCGGTCGCGCAAACTGGGCGGCCCTTGCCATGACAGAGGACCTGGTCAACTGCAACAAGTAGTCACCCAACCAATCCACAGACTCCTGGCTGGCCACAGATTTGTTCCCCGTCCAAAAAGGTGATGGATGCTATGCGTCAGATTGCTGGCCCCGGAACCCAGTGTCAGATTGCTGGCCCAGGTGAGACCGCATCGCCGTCATGGTGAGACCGCGAAAACATCGAGACGTTCAACATGTTGTCACAGAACAGAACAACTCGAGAACGACATCAAATCACAAAACGAAAAAAGCTTCTTGGCAAGCTCGTGTTTGGCACCGTTTTGGAGGATGTATTCATTCCATTTGTGTTGAGCAACAAGATTCTTGGGTTCATCCATGGTGTTTACTGCTTGCCAATAATGTTGAGAAATGTTGAGAATGATGTTTGTGCCCGTGCCCAGCAACCAATGGATGATCACGCGGATGGTGTGCACGATCATGGTTCTCAGGGTGGCTCGTTTGTGAAAGGGTTCTCCACTTGCTATGCTGCGCCTGGTCCAAGTGGTTCGTAGGCTCATCCAAAAGGACAATGTCTGCATGTTTCAGCATAGACCTCGAGCAGAACACTGGCTCCCATCAATTGATGACTGTCCATTCTACTTAAGGACAGGTCGTTTGGGCTTCCTGCAACTGATATATCTCACTGACTTGCCTTGCTCTGACTGAACACCTTGAACACAACCCCACCCGAACCTGAACTTCATTGGTGTCTACCAGGACCATGATCAATCCCTGAAAAAAGTCACATTCTTCGTGAAAGCGAAATTTGGAGGATGGTCCTCGAGACATTGGTCTTCGAGGAAGATCAGCTCTTGGCCTGTTTCACCAGCTCACTAGGTGTTCATGCCATTGGTCCTAAACTCACAAGTCACGGATGAAGGCCTCAAACCAATAAACAGGGGCAATGGACTGTTTGGGGAAGTAGCCAGGAACCCATTGATTTGAGGTAGGCAACGCTCCTAAGATATTCGGGATCACCCTTCGGAAAGCACACCAGATCTTGGACTCTCAACGGATCCAAGCTCCCAAGGTTTCACCGAGGACAGTGAGCAACCCCATGCAACCAAGACCTGAGTTCCCGGCACGGCCAAGGTCAAGCGCATGCGCCAGCCAGTGGACAGCTCGGCCACCGGCACCTCGAACCTGCCAGCAAGAGACCAACCAGAAAACCCGCCTGGTTTTCCCCCGGACAGGCGCTCCGCCCCGCAGGGCTCAGGCCGAGCCCAAGAGGCTCTTTTGTGGGTTCGCAACCAAAACAGGTTTGGGAGCGGTCCAAGGACCCTTGCTTGGGTGGTCGAGGCGGTGTTCACAACGACTTGGGGGGGGAGTCCCCTGAGAATGATCCAAAAAGCTAGCGCTCTCTTCAGCGTAGGGTAACATACAACCACGCTGGCATATTGCAGAATACACAGATCTGTTCACAAGCAGTGCTTGTGTGCAATGCCGCAATGCCCAAATCCCGAGTCAGAGATGTTAACCACCCTGCTCTGGTCTATCAGGAGTTGCCCAGCCGCTCCAATGCAATTCATGTTTGTGGTGGTGCTAGAACCCTGGTTTGGTTGCCAAACATATCATATCACATATCTTCTTGAGATCAATCCAAGAGAAGGACACGACCGCAACCACTGCAGTGACGCTTGCTGAAGGAAAAGTCATGTCGTTGAAGGAATTGCAAAAAAGAAAGACAAGAGCAATCGGGGATATGTAGCTGTTACTGGGGATCGTCTCCAGGCTGCAGCGGATCCTCTCCATGTTAAAACAGTTGACCTGCCACTTGAGTGATTTTCAGTGATCTGTGGGGTCAGTTCGCATGAATTGTCCTCAATCCAAACAAAAAGCAGTGGCTTTCCAAAACCACCTCTCAGGCAGCGGCTAAGCAAGACCCCACGCCCTCCGGGCGTCCCGGACATCTTCTCGGGAAAGCCCACAGTCCGCAAGTTCTCGGCCGAGGCATCCGTGACGCCAATCTCCATGGCCTTCTTTTGCACCTGGGCGCAGAAGGTAAGCACTGAGCGCTGCTGATTTCCGGGTGCCACACATCTGCCACCCTGGAATGGCATGGATGTGATGAGAACTGGGAGGTCCTCCTTTCCACTTGGATTTCAGGAGAAGGGTGATTTCCTGCAGCTCAAGGCGCATATTCCAGGGCGTTCAAGCTGCTCTTGCTCATCTCACCTGCCAGGTGGTCCCATCTCTTACACCGAAGCGTGCAACCCTGCACTCCATCCAGACCGGACATTTGACCAGGTGTTCCCAGGTCCCAACTTTAAAGGATTCCAGGAATCGCCACGAAGCGGTTGACACAAAGAGGTGGCGTTTTGGGCGTAGAAATTCGTCCAACTCCATGATTTGAGGGGCATCATTTGAATCACAGGTCTCCACAGGTCTCCACAGGTCTCCGAGGCCTAGCTTGGAATCGTCCACGTGCACGCAGCGAAGGTGCGTGGGCATGCCCACGATGCGCCCTGCCACGATCTCCTGCAAGGAACCCAGCGGCCATCATGGCCAGCTTGGGACAAACAAGCCCAATCAAACCCCTCGATCTCCAGCTGCAACACACCACTCGTCTGAAACATGTCCCAAAGATGTTCAGCGAACAGACATCACAAAGATGTAAAAACACCCTGCAAGCCGATGGTCAATCCGCTCCATGGCGGCTTTGCTCAAGTAACACACCAAGACCAACCATCTGTCCGCCCCACACCGGGACCTTCGAGTACGGAAGACTCCTCCGCCCAGACCGTTTGAGATGCTTTTTGCCCGTCCTTCATCAGGGTGGTCTTACCGGCACCTCAGGCCCGAACGACTCGGCATCCAATCAACATAGAACCATGTATACATATATATTATAATTATAATATATATATATATCTGGACACGTCCAGAGAATTCAGGTGTTTCGAGGGCCCATCGAAACGAGACCAAAAGTGTGGCTGGAACACAAAAGAGGTCGTTTGGCATTGGAGATTGGCCCATCTGCATAAAACATCTATATACTGTAAAACAGACTTGAAAAATCTCCAGTCCCACCAAGTCTGCTTGACAAGGGGCCGTTGTGGCCCACCACCCCATAGCGGCGGTTCGCCTTCATCTCCAGCATGGTGTCCTTCAGCAAGAGCTTGCCGGCACCATACATCCTTAGGATCAGCGCAGCGCCGGGTACATTCCGGTGGCGTCCAATGCCAAACGGAGCGTGTCGGGGTGGAAGCCGATCTTGGGATCAATGCTGGGGATGAACCCACTCAGGCTACTCAGGGAATCTTGCCTCATCAACTTCGGAATGGGAGGACCCCCCGAGGTGGAGAAGCTCCAAACTCGTTTCAACCTGCCTGGTGCATCAAAGGGTTCAAAAAAGAAAGCAGTGGAATTCTCTGCTACCACAGCTGGTCCTTGATCCGGTGTTTCAAACCTCTTTGATCAACCCTAAATGCAAGCGGGAGAACTCCTCATCTTTGCTTAGGTCAGACCGTTCTTGAACTGCTGTAGCACAGGCCAGCATTTGCATTGAAGGCCCAAGGCTCACAAGGGATTTATTATTCACATGGGCAGGGTCTTTTCAGAGTCAACTTCTCCACCGAACTTCTCCGGACCGGACCTTTGATCTTCGCCTTCCTCTTTCTTTCAACCAGATCCAATCTCAGGGGCCAATCCTCTTCTAACATCCCTCCTCTCGGGGATATCGCAAAACTGGAAGGGATCCTGAAAACTTCTACGAAATCCGGCTTCCCAATTCTACAAGTCTCCCAATCACAACTACTGAAAAAAGAACCGAGATCTCTTCAAGGACCTCCTTTTTGTTCTTATGGCTCATGGTTTCTTGTTGAAACGTTTTGCAAGGAGGTGGCTTCAGTTCTTGATCATGTTCTTTTCACTGAAATTGGACCCTCCGAGGGTCAGCAACATGTTCTCCACTCTCAGCAGGGTGCCCGCATCGTAGCCCTCATGGTGTTGACCTTCGAAATCCTCACCCAAGACTTCACGGCACAGCGCCTACGCTGCGAGGGACGCGACAAAAACGACACGAAAAACACGTTCTCCACTAGACTCCAATGCCTGGGACGATTCCCAGGATCGTCCAAAGGACCAGGGTCACTGAAGGTGGGTCATTGTTTCAAGCTGGAGAGGCTGGCAGGCTAGCTGAGGCCACAACATTCTTCTACCTTTGACAGAAGGTGGCAAGAAGCTAGGGCCCCCTCTGCGTGCGGCTCCCAACCAGTGAGGTTTAGCCGAAATGGTCTCGGTAACTAATGGTGTGTTAAACACTTTGCAGCATGCTATAATTAACTTTTCCCTGATTCAAACGAAGTATTCAATGCACAATGACTGATAGGGAGATCCTCTTCTGTACAAATGAACGCCCCACTGAGTACCCGATGGCCTCCACATTATCAGGCAAAGACTTGCAAAACTCCTCCACCTGAGCGTGGCCGAGCGGAATCTTTATGCCAAGTAGCATGTGTCAGCGAAGAATCGTATGACCTGGTGACACTTCTGATCAAGAACTTCTCCGGACACATCCGGACACACATAAACCCTCGCGAACTGTCCGACAAGTGTGGGATGCAAAACAGGGTGTCCGCGGCTCAGGTGTCTGCAAGCTTCCTGGTGAAACAACACGTTCGGAGGTCCCTTTTTAGTGTTCACCAAAAATGTGCAAAACGCGCTGCAAATGAGCTACGGGTTGAATTCTCCGGCTAGGTGGGTGCCTGGCTTGTGCGGGGGAGCATGTGTCTCCAAACAGTTTTGTTGTGTCTCAATTATTGCATAGAAACGAGCCTGGGCCAAGATAACTTTCTGGCCTTTTGTCTCCGTTCGTTTGCTTTGTCTCCCATGGCTCTTCAGGATGCTGGGCTGAGATGATTCTGCTTTGTCTTGCTTTGTCTCCAAGCCGGGGGCCTGCTCCTTGCAGCATTGGCAAATCATCTGCAAGGCCAGCTGCAGCTCCTGCAGTTGATGGAGGACAAATCTAGAATACAAACAAGTGCACCAAGTATCTGAGGCAGTGAGATGTTCTAAAACAAACGTATGAAGCCGTGTCTGACCACGAAAGCCATGGTCCAAGCTTTGGGGCGATGCAATCCAAAAGACCGTCTACGGTCTGATCAAGACCAGGAGGAGAAGAGGAAGAAGAAGAGAGGGAGGAAAAAGAAGGAAAAGCTCGACCTGTATGGTTGACTATTCCTCCACAAAAGCTTCTTGTGGGGGTATGGTGCTTTGCCCTCAAATCAGGGCCACAACCAAGTCCATGTGATGAGACAATCTAATCATATATACTGTAATACAAGTCTATGGATGTGGTGCAAAAGATTCTAAGGCCCCCTCTCCACCCCTCCGGCCACTCCGACCCCCGTCCTCAACGACCTTGGGCCCTGGGAGTTTCTTCTTGTGACCCTCACGAATCACGCTCTCCGAGACCGACAAGGCATGGCTCTTCAAGTCGCCTCACATGCAACGGAGCAGAAATCCGCTGACCCGAAGCTGGAGGGGACCTCATGCCAGATCTTCTTGATGATAAACAACTCATGGGAGTCTAAAGATGCGCCATTCATTGAATGATGTCCAGTTACAGTGTACAGTCTAGTTTTGGGTTCCGAATTTGCGTTTCTACAAGAGATTCACATTGCAAGCACATGCCCAAAAGTCATGGAGAATGAGGTGCTTGCGACGACACGAGTGATCTGTTCGAAACAGACCTTCAGACGAGCAGTTCACCTCAACCTGCAACACCCCTCAGACCCGTCCAAATTCATTTCACCAAAGCGCTACGTCACCAGCAATGAGCCCTTCTCCAGCAACTGGAGATCCCGAAACATGTCTGTGCCAGACTAGCGCCTGGGAGACTTCCAAACAGCGCTTGCTTGTTCCAGAAGTTCTCAACCTTCTTCACCATTTGGCAGTCCTGCACAGACAGTTGGGCCAAAGATCTGAAAGATCAACATCTGTCATCAATCACCTGGATCAAAACTTTTGAAGGATTAGTCACATTCAAGAATCTCAAAAGGTGGATTTCGTCGGCAGAGATTGGGGAGCAGCACACCAAGCACCTCTCGAATTCACTGGGAAACCATCAAGAAACATCAAAAGTTCAAAAGCAACCAAGAGCCAACAGAAGCCATCAAATCTTACCAAAAGCATCCGAAACCCAGATTTGAAGCCAGCAAAAGCCACGAGAAGTCGCCAAAAGCCAGAAGCCAGGATCTCCCCCAGAGCCCAAGAGCCCACTTCTTTCAAGATTCATAAGCAGCCGGGAAAAAGATATCTTTCTTCTCGATGCTTCTGCAAGAAATTCCAGTTTCTGCCGTGATCCACTCCAACCGACCGACCGCCCGTTCTTCGGGCCACCTTTTTGTGAGGAACCGAGCTCTTGGTGGCCAAATTCCTAGGGTGAAGTGCCAAAACAATGGATCGAATTCCGTCCCAAGTTCGGAGGCATTTCTGAAGCTTTCGGTGCAAGACTGGGCTCATCGGCCTCCTTGATGTCGGCCTCATCAGCTGGGCTATCGGAGCCCTGACCTGGCTGTTTCGAGGCACCCAGCAAGGCACATTCCACACATCCTGAGATAAGGCGCCGGCCTGGCTCAAAGAAATTCACAGAGTGCTTGGGAAAAGCTTGGAAGGCGGAAGGTGCCGAGACATTTTAAGAACTGTTTGCTTCCCAAAGGTTGGCCGGCCTTCGTCCAGAACACCCGATGTTAATGGGAAGCTCCTGTCAGTATGAAAAAGAAGTGATTTATAACAAGTATTGCCTCCCAAGGAGTCCTTTTGAAGGAGACATTCTTTACCACCTTCTGAGAGACACACTCTTGCTTTGAGAGCGGCCCAAGTGCCAGCCAATCCACAGCCCAACCGTTGCGGCCCCCGTCGCGCTGCAAGCATGTTTCCTCCCACGCCGGTCATCTTGTGAGGGTGCAACACATTGAAACACATTGAAACACTTGTAACCCCTTTGAGGGCTTGCGCCACTTGCGCGCCAACTGTGTTGGCAGACAACCTAAACCCTAAAACCCTACAGTAAGCCTTCTCTTCCCCTTGTCCGGCCAATAAAGAAATTCTGAGAAGCTCATGTGACAACTCAGGGATGAGATTTGCGACTCTCCCCTGAGAGCAATGTACGGTTTGCATCTGCCACGTGTTCGTTGTTCCATCTCACTTGCCAACGCAGACTGGCAATGGCACCAGCTGCCGCAGTTGAGAAGGAAAGAGCCAGCTGTGCAGGCTCAAAGAAGGAGGGCAGGAAGTTCAGCAAGTGGTGAGAGAGAATGCCTGCGGCTGAACCAGACACTAGACTGGGAAAGAGGTTGACTTCTTCACGGTCCGGATTCTGGGACAAGAGCTTTGCCAACAAAGGATCCATCCGCACACTTTTCCGGAGCATATTGACTTTTTGCAACAGCTCATGTTGCGTTTTGCATTTCATGAAGAGATGCTGATGGCGGGCCATGATGGTCATGATCAGATGTCTGAATTGGAAACGCGGATCGTTCGCATCATACGTGCCCAGCGGAACCACTAGGCGATGCAGGAGACGCACATGCCATTCAAATGCTTGTATTTCCGGACAGTAGGAGTCGATCAGAAGGGTTGAGAGCAAATGCCTTACAATCTCCAAGAAGATCTCTTGTCCGCGCGGAAAGCGTTGGAAGGTCTGGAACATGTCTGGCCATCGGTACTGGGTGGCTTCCCAAACCTTCTGAGCATCCAGCATGATTTTCTCCGTCTGTCGAGCCACGTCATTTTCGAAGTAGTCCTTGAGGTGGTACCTTTCATAGAGCAAGGCCAAGAGCATAAAAGTCAGCTTCTCACTGCCCAAGACAGCCATCAGTTGCCCTGCGAAGCCCGCAATCACCGTGTTGTAGCCCACACGTGGTCTCCAGGCTGCAAAGGCTTTTAAGGCTAAGACCAGCTTCACACGGCCTTGCTGCTGACTGAAGGATGCAATGGTGGGCAGCTTCAATCTCGGCGTCTCGTCAAACACGGCTTTCCTATCTCTATGCTGACTATTCTTCTCGTGTTGCCGTTTCCCACCAACTACTATTTTCGTGACCTTGACATCCAGCGCTGCCTCCAACTCCCATATCACGGTCTGCGGCACTGTATCTGCTGCTCGGAGCGCCCACTCGGAGAAAGAGACCGGGGAAGATGGGCAGAGATCTTGCCAGATGATCACGTATTCCTCGCAAAGCCGCGGGCCTTGCCATTGTGCATTCACCTGTTGCTCCCGGCTGTGCTGGTGGTGGTCTTTCGCGGTAAACCGCCCGGGATCCACGGGCATGGCCGATCCAGACTTTAAAGTGTGCTGCGAACGTGCAAAAACATTCTTCCTGAACATACTCCAATTGCACATGTGTGTGTGTGTGTTCTCACACACTTGGGGTACCTGGCTTGGCTGGGGTTCACGTGCAATGCTGTGAGCCTCACACTGCTTGCTTGGTCACCACAGTTGGCCCAAAAGCAAGACGTACATGCGTCAACAAAACAATCACTGGAAACCTATCAAAACCTTGGGAATGTCAAGACTTCGCACGTCACCTCAGGATTTCTTTCAAAGACATTTCTGCGAGTTCTTGACCGAGTTCGGGCCAAGTTCGAAACTCGACCGCGTGCGGCTGGCCGCGTCCGACGCGGGGCCTGCGGCAATGCGTGCGGCCTCTGCACTGTTCGACTGGGCCACCTCGAAGGCGAAGTCGCCGGTCACGGCCTCGGGATTTTCCCGACGCGACAGTGTGGGCCTCAGGAAAACCATGTGGCACGCGAGTGTGGGATGTGGTGTCCGGGCTTGGACAGCGGTTTTCAATTCACCTGCACAGCCTGTTTTCCTTCGCTTCCTCCACTTGTTCCTGGTTCTTACTTCTGACAAGTATGGCAGCGGGTCACATTCCGATGACTCGTTGGCACGCCCACCACCTCCCGGTTCCGCACACCAAGAGAAAAAGGAACGACACATGGGTGTTCATGTCCACCCCCTAAGACCCTGTTGGGGATAAACCAGGTGTATGTTGCAAACTAGAGTGGTTAGGGACAAACCCGAAAGAGGCCCGTGGTCACCGCCCACTTCACCGCCCACTGGAACCCACCAAAAGGAGGGTGGAGATGTTCCCACTTCGTGAGAAGGAAGTGCTTCACTTCTCAGAGCCCGAGGTGAGAAACCTCACCTCGGCCGCCTCGGCCTTCAAGAAACGGTCTGGAGGTTCACCGCGTTTCAATCGGCCTGCCTCTGCATCTTCACTGGGCTCCTCCAAATCGCCCGCCTGGAAACTGTTCTGCAAGGACATAGAGCACTGTCCATGCTTGTTCCGGTGCCTGTGATTTGATGCTCTTTTCTGAACTACCAAGCGCTCCTTCCGCTGAAAAAACCGCGTGGTCTGTACATTCGCCAAGCTAGTCGCATTGCAAGTGTCCCTATTGTGGGGCCAGGGGCCATGGGATTCACCGCCGTGATGGGCACCGCTCAGAGCGGCACTACGTCCCACCGAGGCGGTTCAGGCGGAGGACTGCCCGCCCGGACGGAGCAACCGGACTGCCTGGACCCTGCAATGAGGGACTGGAGGACTGGAAGTGGGTAGATCGAACATCTGAACTCTATACATGTTTAAACCTATACACCCAGCTTTCAGCCGAGATCTGGTGTTTTTTGTGGTCTTTGATGGGCTGTTCTCCACACGTTCGTCTTGTCTTCTCCAGTTTCTACCTGAACTGATGACAAAAACCTGTGGATTCCAACCTCTTGAACCATCGCCAACTCTCAAGTGATAGCGAACAACTTTTGAGGAGATGCCCCTTTTTCACACAAAAAAGAGAGAATCAACTACTCTATTTAGGTCTTCAAACCATCGCAGTCTAGGAGGAGGACATCAACATCCTTTCTGCTGGGCCATCACTAGCCCTTCTTTTGGTGTGACTCCCAGTCATGATCTCCGGGTCATGACCAGGAATATTATCGGAAATGAAACTAGAGGATATTCACGCATCCCATCAGTTCTGTACCTGCTTTTGGTCCATCTTTTCAGAGCTGCGTGGTCCGAGCAGTTTTAGCGGGTTCCAAAAGCAACCTTGGACCGGCAAGGGAGTCCATTCTTGTGGTTTTATCACCTGCAATACATGGTGAAATCCCATTTCGAGGCCTTTGCAAAGCATTGTAATTTGGAGCATATACCGTGAAGACCTCAATTATGGAAGAAATTGCAGATATAGATGTTCTACTTGAAATGTTTCCGGGACTGCCCGGCATACCCTGTCAATCAGAAGATCCCATTAGCCGTTGGATTAAAAGGAGCCAAATGCGGGTCCTTTGAGTTGCTTTGCAGCGCATTTTGGACTTTCTGCTCAAGAATATGCATCTCCTGTTTGAACATACCTTGGTCCAGTTATTTTCTGGTTGAACTGATCTTCTATTTGACTTTCCGACCGGGCCTTTCCTATTGTGTTAGTTTTCGGAGTTTCTGATTGGTAATTTCCACGTTTACAAGTTTCTAGTTCACTTCCATGTGATTTGCGTGTGCCTTCATCTTTTACCTACGTGAGGATTTGGCAGGCCTGGGACCAAATGCTTTAAATCATGCAACATTATCAATTACACTGCATTAGGAACAGTGGTGGGGCAGAAAAAGCAATTGCTGCCTAGACTGGGAGCCCTGAGTGGGAGAACACACTTGCTGGTGAAATGCCACAATGCCACTGCAAACCCGAGTGTTTTGTGTTCACAATTTTGTAGGATGTCCCAGTCTCAGAAGTTTCAGCTTCCGTATATTGTATAATATATATATATAGTTAAGACCTGCACTGCTCTAGCGTGCAAGACGACCTGCTCGAGGTCGGTGGCGTTTCCATCAAATGGTTCACCTGCCTGAGGTCAATGCCAACAAAGCACATTACGTTACCAATTACAAAGAGATTACCTAGGATGGGGAAAGAGTCAAATTGAAGATATAATATACTATTATGATACGTTATTTGAACCACAACCAATATATTCTATTTGGATGGAACCAAACCGGAGGTCTGTCCGAAGCATACATCACAGGCGCCAAGCCATGTGCCGTCCCCTCACAATCAAGTTGGTCACGAGATGTCAATATATCATACGTACCATCACTGACCATTCCCTAGAGGAATATGCGGAAAACCCAATGTGGAAACATTTCATCGGAGACCATGACCCGTTTCATTCCTATAATCTTTCCCAACAGGACGGAACGTCCTCCATGCCCCACCAGCTCCGCGTGTCGCGCGCCTTCACCAGCTCCGCCAGGGCATCCTTGGCCACCTTTTGAAGACCCGCGCCCATGGAGCCTCGACGGGGTGACAAGGAGTGCAACGAGATCTACTTGCAAAGTTATGATCAAGCATTTGTGTCCAGTTCATAAGGTCTCGATCGTGCAGCACAAACCAGCAGTTGAGTTGTGTTTTTTTTTGTGGTGTGGGGCTTATACACTGGGTCTGTACCTATGCGGGTGCCTACGCGGGTGCGTCAACTGTTGACGCAGTCTCCCTCACTACTGGCGGACATATCAAGGACACTAGAAGCACTTGCAGTGCAGAACCCACCTGGATGAGACTTCCTCCCTCTTCATGACCCTCACTTCTTTTGAGACATGCTCGGAGTTCGCAAGACACGTGCGCAATGGGAAGACTCGACACGTGCGCCCGTTCAGCTGTTCGATCTCGGGAGCCACATTGACATGGAACGAGTTGGTGGCTTTTCTCTGTCTGCCCTCACGGCAAGGGACAGTTGAATCTTTTCCGGCGGAGAATCCAGTTATCCGATATATTAGGCAAAGATTGATCCACAAACAATCAGAAGCTTGTCGCACTGTAGTGCGACAGCTTGAATATTAAACAGAAGCTCATCCCAGCTTACAAAACACAGGAGCTTTACATGGGAGCTAAAAGTCTCATTTGTTTGGGTTTCGTCCCGAGACATTCCTTGGCATCCCATGCCGCCCAAATTAACCAAAACAAAAGGAGCTGGCTGAGACACTGCCTCAATACATAACTTAACCATGAATGATATTGCACCGCCCCTTCACCACGTTCAGGTCATTGACCTTCCCACACTGCCTTCCTACCTAAACTGGGTCCCAAAATGTGCAAACACTCGAAGCAGTGGGATACATTGGCCGATCCTTATCCAGGTCAGGTCCATGCACACACCTAACCCGTTTTTCTCACCAAAGTGAGGGTGTCGCACCTTGCGACAGACGTGTCCACAAGACCGGCGAGACCCAAGAACAATGGCAAAAGCCATGTAAAAGAAGCGGTTTAATGGTTTCATGACAAAAACGTTGGCCAATAACCTACTCTCCACTCTGCCAAAAAAATACGCGCCCGAGTCCACACCTGCGCGCCACTTCAGGATGCTCTCAGACAACTCCTTGATGATCGTCTTCCTCAGTTCATCGAATTCTGCCACAAAGGGCTGCTCTGTTGCGTGAAGGAAGCATGCCAAGGCCAAGTACTGGAAGGCTCAGCCCGGCTTTTGTATGGGACATGTTCTTCAAATCGGCCATTTCTACAAAAGCCTCCGGATGCCGAAGAGGAGTCTACCTTCAGTCTCCTTTTTCTTGGATGCAACGAACCTCAAAATGACAGCACACCCCCAGCACACGCACCGCACACCCGCAGCACGTTGCGAAAGTGGGCTGCCGTTCCTTACACCCAAAACGCGACGACGTTCGCTGCTCAGTGCTGCCACAGCTCTGCATCTTCGGGGATCCGCCGGAGGTCTTCCTGTCTGAACCCGCGGCAAACGGCGCCCCGACCGGTGGCAGGAATTGGAGGCGGCAATCGCGTGCACGTCTCTGGCATTCCTGGGATTCCTGGCCCACCCTTGATTTATATAATGGTATTTACCATGATAAAACGGTATTTATAGCTATTCATAATGGTATTTATATATAACGGTATATATATAATGGTATTCCTGGTTTTGCTGGAAACCCGCCGTTTCATCTCGATGTCCCTCTAGCTCTGCCGCATCCAACACCAATTATTCGATGCCCGGAGTACCCTGAGATGCCCCAAGACCGCATCGATCTTTTCAACCGGGACCTTCGACTCGCGTTTACTCGGAAGAAGGATCCTAATGGAGTAACTGATACCTGGCCAAATTGGCTTTCTTTTAATTCGGCCCATGCTTGTCCTAGGCCTCGTTCATGACTTTTTGGGTGTCTTATTCACCCCTGTCGTCGTGGTTGCATGCTCTTGTTAGTCCCAAATCTCTGGAACCCCCATCACCCGTATGGAAGTGTCCGTGAGATGCGCGTGATCGTCCGCAAGTGAGAGACCATACAGGTAGTGTTTTACATTGTTCTATTCAGGATTCTAGACCACAAAACCACCTTTCAGAATCTCTTTGATTGGTCTCTGACTGTGAAAGTAAGAGTCACTGCTGCAGTGACCACTGGAGGTTTAGACATGGTCTCAATTGCTTGGACGATATGACAGCTGTTATTTGAAATTTGGGGATGCGTCTTCACATGGCGCAGAAGCGGCTTAACCTCCCAAGTTCATTCGTGGCTTTGCATTGTGACCTCCCAACTCCAACTACTTGATGAGTCCATGATACATTTCAGCTGTTGTTCCTCTTCAAAGCATGGCGGTTCTTGCGCCCACCACGCTGCACAGGGATCCACTTCCACTGCCACTCTCCCACACTCCCTCCCACCGCACCAGACGTTGCTGGCCACACGCTTCACAGCAGCGTCGGGGTCGCTGCGAGCCACGAAAGAGAGGATCAGCACACGCAAGCGGGTGGCCTCGCAGAGGGAGCACCGGCGAAAAATGGGCACAACGCGCAGGGCGAAAAGCGGGAACCATTTTGGCAGAGAAGAGGACCCCTTCCAGTCTCCACAGGTGACCACCATCTATCTGAGGTCTGATGCTTTGAGGTGCAGGCAACAGGGGAAACCTAAGAAAGAGGAAGATCGGTTTGTCCTCGACTGCGCCTCCGATTGGAGCTGCGCAACTCACATCCCGGCCCCGGCTTTCGGATTTGGAGAACGCTGTCACCTGGTACCACCGAATCCAAATCAGTCAGGTCTGAGCACTATTGGGTTGTGGGATGCCCCCTGGAAACTTGGGCAAAGTCCTAAGTTGACGTGGAAGCTTCTCTTTCTCACGGGAAAGAACAAAGACTTCACGCTAGCAAAGGCGCCAGCTTCTAGTCCTCTTGCACATCGGCTATGAAACACATCGACATCGCACGCGATCGCCAATCGCCTTGTTGGAGCATTCGTCGCAGGTCAGCAAGTCCTGCCCAAACCTCATTTTCTTGGACCGCCCAGATTAAAAAAAAATATATATATATATATACATAGCACCCTCCAACAGGTCGCCACCTGACACTTTTAAGTCTCCAAAAGCTACCAGGGGAGACCTGTTGGAGGGTGCTGGTACACATGTATGAATATATATATATATTTATATTTATATTTATTTTTATTTACGTACGTATTTATTTATTTGTTTATTTATATGTACATGTATGTGTATAGTCATATATTATCTACATATGTAATATATATAAATATATATATTACAACACAATAATATTGAGGGCAAAAGGCGGTGTGGAGTGAAGAGACACACTGAAAGGTGTCTCCTGGTCGGATCAGGCCCCAAAAGGTGACATTCAGGAGGTGATCATCCCTGCTGTTGGCTTGTTGATCCCACATCCTGCTTTCTTCACCAGATCTCAAAGTTGGCAATATTGACAACTCTGCTGAACTCCTGACCGCCGGGGCCGACGTTGGGGTTTGCTGTTTTTCGGCCGACGGGCACATGTTGGGGAACCCGGCTTCTTGTGCTCCAGGATCTTCTCAGCAGTCTTCAACAAGAGCTGCATCGATTTCTCGCGGACGATCTGCATCTTCTTCCAGTCACCTGAGGACCTGCCGCGCGACCAGTCACATAGTTTTCTACTTGGGTTCAGAAAAGCACCAAGACAGCAAGAAATGGCACCGACCAATTCTTACATGCTTTAAGTGACTTTAGTTTGGCGACATGGTCACTCTCCAAAAAACACAAATGTTGCCGGCACCCCAAAGCTTTCGCATAGGAGCCCTCAAAAGCCGCCATGAGCAGATCTGGGCACCTGGACGGGATCGGTCGATGGGGCAACAGATCGGGATCCGAACGTGACCGGGATCAGCACGGAAGCACGGGATCCGAACGGGCTGGGAGCGGCGAAGTCCAGTTCGCTCCTTCAGTTCGTCCGAAGAAGTGCGGAGTTGGATGAAGAAGTGCCTGGAAACCGATACTAGGAGCACAGGGCATCGCTACTAGGGGCTCCTGGCATCGCTACTAGGAGCGTTCGGACGCTACTAGGAGCAAAGGGCATCGCTACTAGGAGCGTTCGGACGCTACTAGGGGCTCCTGGCCTTACTACTACGAACAAGAAGCTACGTTTCCTCATGCGTCCTTTCCCACGGCTAAAGATTAAATCAGATGCCAACAACTTGGCACTCATTGCCCATGTGAAGGTTTGGCCAATCCTGTGGGCTTGATCGGAGACACAACTGGAAGATATCCCACCATGTCCTGAGAGAAGGTCTAGTGCAATCTAGAACCCTCAAACCTCACATTCATGACAAATGACAGAGGAAGCTCCAAAGCCTTCCGTCATGTTGCTTTAGAAAAACATAGAAAAACTCTTCGCCCTACAACATCCATCAAATCCAATGACTCCAATGCCCCCTTCTAATCCCCACCTTCTCCCCACCACCCCAGTCCAAGGCGCAAATCTCCAAAGCGGCCCACCAACGCCTGGGCCGCCTTCATTGCTGGATCATCGCTCAGGTCCTTTTTGGCACAATCGAACGACCCCCAGAGCAAAAAGAGGTGGACAACGGGAGATTCCGCACTTTCTTTTTCTACATCAGTTGATATATTCCTACTCATTCCTGCCACCTACCCAATCCCACCCATACCAGGACCCTGCAAAATTGGTGGCGGAATTTCAAGGACCTTGAGAAGAGACTGAGCGCTGGGACCACAAACGGAGATTCAGCCTGATGAGACCATCAATGCATACAGGTCAATTCGACTTCTCCCGGCACCAGGAATGATCTCGGAGGGTTTTCTTCCAAGGACTTCCTGTCGACCCCAAGAAATCTAGGGATTCCAATGTTTGTTGAAATGCGCAGTATTCAACATCAAAAGGTATAATAGGGCCTCATAATAGGGCAATTGATCCTCACAAAAAGAATATGAACTATGCCAGAAAGGTTCGACCCAAAAAATGATTCCTGCTACAAAATGCATTGGTGGTATATATATTGGTGTCGGTTCATGGGTGGAGGAATGCGGAAGAGCTCATCATTTGAGTTTATGGGAATGACATCATTGCCTCAGCTACTTGTCATTGCCTCTCCTTCCTTCCGCTCAGCATGGATAATTTGCCGAACGGCGCACCAGCCTGCTTGTCTTGTTGACTGGTTTGCTGGCATTGTGTCCTGTTCGTACATGTTGGTGCGGCGACCACAGGCCATCCCCTGATTCTGCGTGGGATGCGGCCCTCATCGGAAGAAGACCTGGTCGAACTTGGAGTCCAAGTTGGCATGCGGTACCCACGGTGCCATCGCTCTTGTTCCCCCCCTTGCCCACGCGGTCGACGCCTTCCCCGCAGAAGGCGGTCCTTCTCACCATTGATGCCCATGAGCATCGCAGGGAAGAGGCGTTCGATGTAGGGAACGAAATCCATCTTCATGGCCTATGCAACAAAAAGAACTTGGCGTCGTTCCGAACCTTGCACCATGGATCCCAACATGTATTGTGCAACACAATTCCAGATAACCCTTGGGGGTTAAGAAGGTGAAACTGGAAGCCTTCTGACAACCGCTCCCTCTCTCTCCCTCTCTCAAAAGTCCCATGTTCAGTGCAGCTTCTATCCCTAGACCTCTCGAATTGGACCTCCAGATATCTCTGCTGACACCTTCCCCCAACGAGATGTTCTACTGCCTGAGGCATGGTATCCATCAGCTCCAGAAAGCCACGGCGCACTGTGACGCTCTCCTCGTTGGCACCCTGAGGAAAAAAGAGATCTCAGGGAGTTAAAGACGTCCCCCTCTTGGAGCACAGACTCCCAAGTCGCTGGTTGCTAGGATCATGGGAAGGCTTTAGAAGGTTGATAGTTCGAAAGCCACCGAAACAGCAATGATCCTGACTTGCTTGTCCCCGTTTCTGTGACTCCAAGACATCCCAAAAGTACTCCGTGTTGATGCTAAAGGTTTGAGGGACAGGCCAAATAAACCAGTAGCATGTGGGGCTTTTTCTTTGCCCGCCTTCTGGACCTCTGGCATGAGCTGCGTGAGCTTCGCCTCAGTTTCGAAAGCATTACGCGATCCCAGTCTCCAGCAAAAGAGCTGGACTGCAGCTTGGCCAGGCCATTCTTGGACTACTTGAGAGGAGGGAGACACGAAAGGTAGGACAGCGGGAAGAGAAGAGAACGCGAGAGGCAGGAACAAAAATGCAATGTTCGACATGGTGATTTATCCCCTCGGAGGCGACCTGTCGTAAATATATGTTCATATGCACTCTAAATGTTCAAACATATGCTCTCGAAATGTTCAAAAAGATTCTGAGGAAAACAATCTTGCCCCATGGCTCAGATCATCGGTGAGCATTGAATCGGAGCATCATAGGATTTGAACTATCCTGAAACCATAAGAGGCTCACGAAGACGTTCCCCAGGAGAGAATTGACGTGCTTCACAAAACAAACTCTAGGTATGTATCCCCTCGGGGAACACCTTTCGTGATTATGCACTCGTTCTGAATGTTCAAGAGGGTTTCAACTATCCTGAAATCATGAGAGGCTCACGAAGACGTTCTCCAGGAGAGAATTGAATTTAGAGGGGGGGGGG